CTATATCTATAAAAAACAATGATCGATTTTTATTATGAAGATTCATTAATAATTACACTTGTTCATATTAATCTAATCTTACGCTTTAATACGTATATCAGTACTATAATCTATCATTCTTTGTCCAGGATAACATATACATAAAAGATGAAGAAATTGAGCACATGCGAAAATCAAAAATGTGAGTGCTTCTGGTGGTTTATCAAGTGACATTAATATCTACAAAGTTAAATATAAAGAAGACATAAAATTTATTTTCATTATAGAAATAAATAGAAAAACTTACTAGAAACATAGAAATGCTCAAACATATCAAACCCAAAAAAGCTTGTATAAGGAAAGATATTGAGTAAGAAGATTCAATAAGTTCAGCAAACCTTTTGGGAAAAATATTTGAATTAATTAAAGGAGCGACGAATTCATTCAATGCGTAAGTCACTATATAATAATAATTTTTAGTATTAATTTATATTAAAAGTAGGCTCATACTAACTCCAATGCTCTTTTATGATTTTTAATAGAATGTACAAAGTTGTCGATACATAGTTTTCTTATTTGACGATCCAACAAAATTTCCGGGTCAATCCGATCGAACAACAAATTTCTAAACGAAAAATTTTCTAAACGAAAACTATAATTTTATATAGTGTTAATCTTATTATAAAATATATCAATTAAAATTTACAGAGAAAAGATAATATCTTCCTTACCCTACAGCAGAAAACAAACCGCATATGTGTGAATTAAAAACCAAAAATAAACTATCTGAAGCAATTAATACAGTAATTCCAACCGTAATTTCTATACTCATGTGACAATAAATAGAATAGAAGTATTCATTTCCGTCGACGAAGTAATAGCTCTTAATTATTGATCTCAATGGGCGAGACTCGTTTAAAGGTACGATGATATCCATAAGACGCGGAAAAAATGGCAATATAAGGAAAAATATCATACATATGTATATATATGCTGTGTAAAAGGGAGTATCGATTTTTATCTAAAAGAATAAAATATTTCATAAGATTTTTGAATATTTACTTATGTAGACCAATGTAAAGAATCTTCCTTCGCCGGCAAATTCGTGCATGATATTCATTTCTTCTCGTGATTCCCATATTTGCCAATTTTTAACAATATGTTTCAGAAGATACTGCATCTGCAAAGATAATTTCTACATTAATAAAATACTTTATATTTATTGTTGCAAATAGTATGGAATCAAACAATGTAAAAGAGAGACAAAGAGAAAGAGAGAAAGAGAGAGAGAGAAAAAACTCTTCTAAGAAAAAGACTTTTATTAAGGATTATTATTTGTTATTAATTTTATATCAACTATCAAATTAATTGAAAGGCTACTTACGTTATTTCTTTGAATCTGATATGTGTAATATTTTATTACCATAGCAATAAAAACGCATATAAATGGTATACTCTCGAGTATCACATCGATATTTCCATTACAGGTAGAAACCAGTGCTATCTATCGATAATTTTATGGTTAACACTATAATTAATTAAAAATTCATACACATACGTACACGTGCGCTGATATATATATTAAATCTGTTAATACCTGTGTGATAGCAAAACCGGTAAATATGAAATTCACAAAACATCTACGGAAAAATTGATCATATGAATTCTGATAAGGCCATTGCCCTATCAGCACTAATAAACGTTTGTTAACTTTGTAGTAAGGGTGATCGAAAATGTCCATAACGTTTCGAAAGCGTAAGTCATTCTAAAGTTATCGAAGGAAGGACGAGCTCCCCTTTTACTGGGGCGGGTCAACATAAAATAATCAGTACTTTTTCTTCTTGCAGTGAACCCCTCTATCTATTATCTGTACATTGTATCTGATCGAAAGAAAAAAGAGATAAGGACAGGTACTAATTTACCTTCAACTTGTACGAGGAAATAATATTTCCAATGGAATATTTCTTGAAAGTATGTAATTTTCTTTTTGAAAAACTTTAGACGTTTTGTAATATCCTTTGTACAAAATCGAAATTATTAATTCATCGATTTTTCTTCTTATGGCTTAATATACTCTGTTACTTTATTGTATACTTAGTACTGTGTATGCATTATAGTCTCTTATAGCAACAAGTGGTCTTAATGTCTTTTTCATACATTTATTTCCAGTTAATATAGATATAACAATAATATCAATCTAATCTTCATGATCTTATATGAAGAATTTATCAACATAAGGATTATTACGAATGATTGATCAATCCTAACAGATAAGACGAAAATTTTATTTTTGTCCAAAGTAAATACAGTGTATTGAATAACTACAGATAATTAATATTATTCATAGCTAATGCGTCGATAAAATTACCATGAAGTAAGAGCCAGAAGTTTGGATGATCTTAAGAAAGAAAAATTATTGTTTTTTAATTGAACGAAATGTAGAAATGTTAGATTTTTTAAATTCATGTACCTTCGCATAAGTTTCTAAACAAAATACGAATATTTTCCCGCCAGTCAAGTAACATGGTTCGGTACTTCTTCGTATTATTAATAACATTAATCTATGTACTTCAATTGGTGCTTCGTACCATAATCCATTGTATCTATAAAACGATAGAGATTTATTATAAAGTTTAATTAATAATAATTTTTTTTATATTATATCATTCTTACGCATTAAAACGTATTTCAGTGCTATAATCTATTATTCTTTGACCTGGATAACATATACACATAAGATGAACAAATTGACCAGTTCCAGAAATGACGAATCTAAATGCTTCTGTTTTGTTATCCAATAACATTAATACCTATAACAATAAATATAAAAGATGAAAAAATTTTCTTTTTAATCTAGAAATGAAGAAGCAAAAACTTACTTGAAATAAAGAAACACTCACACCTATCATTCCCATAAAAGCTTGCATCATAAGAGATATCGAATAAGAAGTTTCAATAAGATCAGCAAACCTTTTCAAAAAACATTCGAAAAAGATAAATAATCATCGAACTCATTCATGTTTAAGGTACTATATATATATATATATATATATATATATATATATATATATGTATATAATTTTATATAAATTTATATTATTATTATGTTTATACTAACTCTAATGCTCTTTTATGATTTTTAATAGAATGTACTACGTTATCAAAACACATCTTTCTTGCACGGCTATTGAATGAATGTCCCGAGTCAATCGGATCTTTAAACAAATGTTCCAGGCGGAATCTACAATTTTATCTGGAATTAATTATCGTCGTAAATTATATTTATATATATATATAAAAAAAAAAAAAAAGAAACAAGGAGACAAAAAAAGAAGGAATCTTCCTTACCCAATTGCAGAAAACAAACCGCATAAGTGTGAATTAAAAACCAAAAATAGAGTATCCGAAGCGATTATTACAGTAATTCCAATTATGATTACAATACTCATGTGAAAATAAATGGAAAAAAAATATTCTTCTTCGTCGACGAAATAATAAGCTGTAATAAGAGCTCTCAAAGGGCGAGACTCGTTCAATGGTACAACGATATCCATGAGACGTGGGTAAAAAGGCAATATGAGAAACATTATCTCACTTAAGGATATATATACTATAAAAATAATGTATCGATTTTTATCTAACAAAAAAAAAAACAATCTTACTTCAACAAATACTTACTTATATAGAATAACGTAAGAAATCTTCCTTCACTTGCAAATTTGTGCATGATGTCCATTTCTTCTTGAGTTTCCCATATATTCCAATTGCTAATAGTATGTTTCAAAAGATTTTGTATCTGCAACAATATCTTCTAAATCGGAATACCTTCAATTTATCGTTGCAAATGACAAAAAAAAAAGAGAAAAAAAGCAATATAAGAAAATTATTTTAATAAAATTGCAATATTATTTTCATTTTAAATATCAAATTAGTTAAAAAGAAAAACTCACATTTTTTCTTTGAATCTGATACGTATAATATTTAATTAATACAACTAAACCAACAGTCACAGCTGGTATACTATCAATTATTGTATCGATATCACTTCTATACTCATAAATCACTGCTATCTGTCAATAATTTTGTAGTTAAAACGATTATTGAGTTAAAACTCTTTTAAACACGAACGCGCGCCCGCACACGCATACACACACCACACACATACAGTCACACACAGCAGAGAAATATGTTAAATTTATTAATACCTGTGTAATAAAAAAACTATAAATTGTAATATTTACAATGCACCTACGGAGAAAACTATCATTCAAATTCTGATAAGGCCATTGCCCTATCAGTGCTAATAAACGTTTGTTGAGTTTATAGTAAGGGTGCTCAAAAGTGTCCATAACGTTTCGAAAGCGTAAGTCATTCTAAAGATATCGAAGCAAGGACGAGCTCCCCTTTTACTGGGGCGGATCAACATAAAATAATCAGTACTTCTTCTTCTTGCAATGAACCCCTTTATCTATTATCTGTACATTGTGTCTGATGGAAAGAAAAAAGAGATAAGGACAGGTACTAATTTATCTTCAACTTGTACGAGGAAATAATATTTCCAATGGAATATTTCTTGAAAGTATGTAATTTTCTTTTTGAAAAACTTTAGACGTTTTGTAATATCCTTTGTACAAAATCGAAATTATTAATTCATCGATTTTTCTTCTTATGGCTTAATATACTCTGTTACTTTATTGTATACTTAGTACTGTGTATGCATTATAGTCTCTTATAGCAACAAGTGGTCTTAATGTCTTTTTCATACATTTATTTCCAGTTAATATAGATATAACAATAATATCAATCTAATCTTCATGATCTTATATGAAGAATTTATCAACATAAGGATTATTACGAATGATTGATCAATCCTAACAGATAAGATGAAAATTTTATTTTTGTTCAAAGTAAATACAGTGTATTGAATAATTACAGATAATTAATATTATTCATAGCTAATGCGTCGATAAAATTACCATGAAGTAAGAGCCAGAAGTTTGGATGATCTTAAGAAAGAAAAATTATTGTTTTTTAATTGAACGAAATGTAGAAATGTTAGATTTTTTAAATTCATGTACCTTCGCATAAGTTTCTAAACAAAATACGAATATTTTCCCGCCAGTCAAGTAACATGGTTCGGTACTTCTTCGTATTATTAATAACATTAATCTATGTACTTCAATTGGTGCTTCGTACCATAATCCATTGTATCTTTAAAACGATAGACATTTATTATAAAATTTAATTAATAATAATTTTTTCATATTATATCACTCTTACGCATTAAAACGTATTTCAGTGCTATAATCTATTATTCTTTGACCTGGATAACATATACACAAAAGATGGACAAATTGACCAATTCCAGAAATGAAGAATCTAAATGCTTCTGTTTTGTTATCCAATAACATTAATACCTATAACAATAAATATAAAGGATGAAGAAATTTTCTTTTTAATCTGGAAATGAAGAAGCAAAAACTTACTTGAAACAAAGAAACACTCACACCTATCATTCCCATAAAAGCTTACATCATAAGAGATACCGAATAAGAAGTTTCAATAAGATCAGCAAACCTTTTCAAAAAAGATTCGAATAAGATAAATAATCATCGAACTCATTCATATTTAAGGTACTATATATATGTATATAATTTTTTATGAATTTATATTATTATTATGTTTATACTAACTCCAATGCTCTTTTATGATTTTTAATAGAATGTACTACGTTATCAAAACACATCTTTCTTGCACGTCTATTGAATGAATGTCCCGAGTCAATCGGATCTTTAAACAAATGTTCCAGGCGGAATCTACAATTTTATCTGGAATTAATTATCATCGTAAATTACATTTATATATATAAAAAAAAAAAAAGACAAGAAGACAAAAAAAGAAGGAATCTTCCTTACCCAATTGCAGAAAACAAACCGCATAAATGTGAATTAAAAAGCAAAAATAGAGTATCCGAAGCGATAATTACAGTAATTCCAATTATAATTACAATACTCATGTAAAAATAAATGGAAAAAAAATATTCTTCTTCGTTGACGAAATAATAAGCTGTAATAAGAGCTCTCAAAGGGCGAGACTCATTCAATGGTACAATGATATCCATGAGACGTGGGTAAAAAGGTAATATGAGAAACATCGTCTCACTTGAGAACATATATACTATAAAAATAATGTATCGATTTTTATCTAAAAAAAAAAAAAACTATCTTATTTCAACAAATACTTACTTATATAGAATAACGTAAGAAATCTTCCTTCACTTGCAAATTGGTGCATGATGTCCATTTCTTCTTGAGTTTTCCATATTTTCCAATTGCCAATAATATGTTTCAAAAGATTCTGTATCTGCAACAATTTCTTCTAAATCGGAATACTTTCAATTTATTGTTGCAAATGACAAAAAAAAAAAAGAAAAAAAAATATAAGAAAATTATTTTAATAAAATTGCAATATTATTTTCATTTTAACTATCAAATTAGTTAAAAAGAAAAACTCACATTTTTTCTTTGAATCTGATACGTATAATATTTAATTGTTACAATTAAGCAAACAGTTATAGCTGGTATACTATCAAGTATTGTATCGATATCACTTCTATACTCATAAATCACTGCTATCTGTCAATAATTTTGTAGTTAAAACGATTATTGAGTTAAAACTCTTTTAAATACGAACGCACGCCCGTACACGCATACACATACCACACACATACACTCACACACAGCAGAGAAATATGTTAAATCTATTAATACCTGTGTAATAAGAAAACTATAAATTGCAAAATTTACAATGCACCTACGGAAAAAACGATCATTCAAATTCTGATAAGGCCATTGTCCTGTCAGTACTAATAAACGTTTGTTGAGTTTATAGTAAGGGTGCTCAAAAGTGTCCATAACGTTTCGAAAACGTAAATCATTCTAAAGATATCGAAGCAAGGACAAGCCCCCTTTTTACTTGGGTGGATCAACATAAAATAATCAGTACTTCTTCTTCTTGCAAAGAATCCCTCTATCTATTATCTGTACATTGTGTCTGATCGAAAGAAAAAAGAAATAAGGACAGGTACTAATTTATCTTCAACTTATACGAGGAAATAATATTTCCAATGGAATATTTTTTGAAAGTATGTAATTTTCTTTTTGAAACTCAAGACGTTTATTGTATACTTTATACACGATAATTTATTAATTCATCGTTCTTTCTTCTTACGGATAAATGTACTTTTTTATCTTATTATATACTTAGTACCGTGTATTCATTGTACTCTTAAACCAACTTCTGTTTGTAATTTCTTTTTTATATATTATTTCAGTAAATACAAATTAAATCCTATTTTAACAAGAGATTAGATTTTCATTATCTTAAAACAAGGTGATTGATAATGTGTAAAGAATATTAGGACGTGATTGATTAGTCGATACAAACACAAGTAGCTCTTTTTACACAACACAAAGCTCTATTTATACGTAAGTAATAACTTTGAATAATTATAAATTATTAAATATCATTGAAAGCTAATGCACAGATGATATTACCATGAAATACGAGGTGGAAGTTTGCACGATCTTTAAAAGAAAAATTGATATCTTTGTTAAATAGACAAATTTTTCAATGCAATTGTTATTTTGTATTATCATACCGTTGAAAAGCTTTCGAAGCACAATACAAATGCTTTTCCAGCAGTTAAATAACAAGGCTGGAGACTTCTTCGGATTACTAATAATATTAAATTATGTATTTCGATCGGTGCCTCGTACCACAGACCGCTATATCTATGAAAAGAAAAAAAAAATTTATATAGAAATATATTAATAGTTAGAAAATATTTATTATCAATTATATTACTAACGCTTTAATATGTATATCGGTACTATAATCGATTATCTTTTGACCGGGATAACACATACAAAAAATGTGAACGATTTGAGCAGCCGCAAAGGCTATGTATCTGAACGCTTCACTCGATTTTTTCAAAACTATTATTATCTATAATATAAACGCAAATGATTAGAGTGATTGATGTGATATTTAAGAAGAAAAAAATAAATAAATAAAAAGAGAAAAGGAAACGATTATGACTTACTTGATATAAAGAAAGGCTCATACACACCAAACTCGAGCCAACTTGGGAAAGTAAAAAAAACGAATAAGAAGATTCAATGAGGTCAGCGAACCTTTTGTGAAAAACAAAAAGTAAAAAAAAAAAAAAAGAATAGAGAGAGAAACAAGAAAATACAAAAGAAACATTCTTAATCATAATTAAACATTTAATTACGTAATAATTGTTAATGTACTAACTCTAAAGCCCTTTTATGTATTTCAATGGTACGAACGACATTTTTAAAGCACATCCTACGAGAACGATAATCTAATAAATTTGTCATGTTCGTTTGATTCTTTAACAAATGTTCCAGACGAAATCTGTAATAGATAGAATTATAAAAAAAAAAAAAAAGAAAAGGAATTATAATATAAAAAAAAAAAAAAAAAAAAAAAAAAAGAAAAATTAAGTACGATATAAGTGAACATTTTATCAAATATTTGTTACCCCACTGCTGTGAATATACCGCAAATGTGCGAATTGAATATCAACAAAAGGACATCGTTCGATATTAACACTGTTATTCCAATAACGATCACTATACTCATGTGAAAGTAGATTGGAAAGAAATGTTGATCTTCATCGATAAAATACTCGCTTTTAAATATAGGTCTCAAAGGCCGAGACTCGTTTAATGGTACAATTATATCCATTATAAATGGAAAAAATGGCATTAAAAGGAACAACGTCATACACGAGTATATATATGCTATATAATAAAAAAAGTAATATATATATATATATATATATATATATAATATTATTTAAGTAACAAATGTTAAATTAAAATTATATATACATATATCTCACACGTATAAAAAAAAGTTAACAATTTTCCTTCCTCGCTATATTTACGCATTATATCCATTTCCTCTTTGGACTCCCATAATTTCCAATGTTTTGTTATACGTTCGAGGAGATTTTTAATCTATGAGAATAAAAAAAAAAAAAAAGGAAAAAAAAATATCGCACATTATATTAGTGTATATCTCGATTTTTTTTTTTTTCAACAGAAAGAAAATATGAATGTAACTATACGAACTCACATTATTTCTGCATATATAAAACATGGAATATTTGGATGTGATCGTTATCAATGATGTTATAGGTGGTATAATTTCTATCAATGTGTCAATATCTCCATTAGTGTATAATAATGATATCTGGTGTTATATTTATAAGAAAAATAAATATTTCATAAATGTACACATATATGTATGAACACAAATTAATGTATATTTATGAATGATATATATTACGTACCTGAGTAATACCAAAACTAAACAACAGACTAGTCACAAAGCACATACGAAAACGTTGATCAAATTTATGCTGATAAGGCCATTGTCCTATCAGTAACAAGAGACGTTTGTTAAGTCTATAGTAAGGATGTTCGAAAACTTCCATAGTGTTTCGAAGAAAACAAACTATTTTGTAGTAATCAAAGAAAGAAGAAAGGAATAAAGGATTTCACTTGTTGAATAGAGTCAACATAAAATAATCAAAGAGCTATATTTATTCGAAAATATGATTCTATAGTGCCAAAGAGAAAGGAACAAGTAACAATCATACCATCTATTATGTTTAACATGCAAATAAGATATGTTTTTGAAGAATGAAACTTACTATTAGGTCGAATGATATATAATTTTCTTAGTGTCAAGCGTCGAATGTATAGGAACGAGTAAGTCGTCATAGAATTTATTATTCAATTCCATACTATACAGATTCTTTTGACGAGTGCACATATCTATTATATTCTAGTCTCTTTGAATTGTCATTTTATTTTACTTACTACTTTGCATTCTTTTTCGTCGAAAAGAGAATAATCGAAGATCATACTCGAAGGTAAATTCTTTTCTTTTCGTTTCTTTTTTTCTTTTTCTTTTACTTTTTCCATTTTTTTTTTTTTCTTTACATACAATTTAATACACAAATTAGTGATAAATAGAATATGATCACTTAAAATTATTTTAAATTATTTTAAAACTATAAAATATTAATATTGTTATTGTATTGGATAATTAATGGACCGATGAAATTACCATAAAATAAGAAGTAGAAGTTTGTAAAATCTTAAAATGAAAAAAACAATATTAATAATTATTAAATCAATTTTATATATTGTAAATTTATATTAATAATTATATTATCCGTACCGTTGCAAAAGTTTCTAAACAAAATATGAATACTTTTCCAGCAGTTAAGTAAGATGGTTCCAAACTTTTTCGCATTACCAATATTAATAATTTGTGTATCGACAATGGCGCCTTATACCATAGTCCATTGTATCTACAAACAAATATATGATTTTTATCGGAAATAGAATATTTGTATGGAAATTGTTACTATGCTTACGCTTTGATACGTATATCGGTGCTATAATCTATCATTCTTTGTCCAGGATAACACATGCAGAAAAGATGAAGCAATTGAGCAACTGCAAAATTGAAATATCTAAACGCTTCTGTTGAATTTTGCAAAACTATCAGCATCTATAAGAATATAAAAATATTAAAAGCAATATCTAATAATAATGAAAGAAAAATGAAAAAATTAATAATTACTTCGAACAAAGAAATACTCATACATATCAAACTCAAGCCAGATTGTATCAGTAATGACATCGAGTAAAAAGACTCAATGTGTTCAGCAAACCTTATCAAAGAAAAAAAATGAAGCAAATATCAATTAAATTACTTTACATAATTGTGCAATATTTATATATACAAGATGCGCCAAAAACTCTTAAATTATTTTCTAAAATTGATTATATATTTTTCAAAACTTCATAAGCTTGCAGTTTGATTTACGTTCAAAAGAATTAACGTAGGAGATTTCGATAAAGAATAATTGATTTTCAAAATCATCTAAGAACTTTTGACCTATATTTATAATTGATATTACATATAATTATTATATATATATATATATATATATATATATATATATATATATATACTAACTTTAATGCACTTTTATGATTTCTGATAGAATATTGAATATTTTCGAGACACTTATGTTTCGATAAATTATCTAAGGAAGATTTGGAATCAATTTGATCCTTTAAAAAATTTTCTAAACGACATCTGTAATTGTTTAATTAAATTAATCATATCACTGAGACACAAAAAATATTTGAACGATTAAATTGTATCCTTTATCTTACCCAACTGCTGCGAATATACCACAAATATGTGAATTAAACATCAAAAAGAGTATATCTCCTGTAACTAATGCTGTTATAGAGATTGTTATAGATATACTCATGTGAAAATAAATAAAGTAAAAATGTTCGTCCTCGTTGATGAAATATTCGCCTTTGAATATTGGTTTTAAAGGACGTGACTCATTCAAAGGTACGACGATATCCATCATAATTGGAATAATTGGTAATAGGAGAAACATCGTCATGCATGTATATATGTATACTTTAAAGAAACGATATATATTATTATTAAAGATATAAAATATATCAGAGTGAAGTGACTCCATTGTTTACAGTAAATTGAAAGCTTACTTGTATAACAAAAAGTAAGTAATTTTGTCTCTTTTCCAAATTTATGCATAATTTCCAATTCTTCTTTCGTTCTACATAATTTCCAATTGTGAATTAAATGATCCAAAAGTTGTTTTATCTATAAGAAGTATCAATGATCTTCAAATTAATATATAAATATTTTTTAACGATAATACATTTGTAATGGAGAAATAAATGCATAAGTCATAATAGAGAAAAGAAAAATTATTATTGATATAATATATTGAAATAATCAAAGGAAATATTATATATATATATATATATAAAAAAAACTAATAACTTACTTTTTCTCTATTAAATTGGACGGTATAGTATTTAATGATGCAAACTGTTACTGCAGACATAGGTGCCACAGTTTCGATAATAATATCGATGTTTCCGTAATAAGTAAAAAACAATAATACCTATAGCTAATAGTATGTAATCGGAACTTAATGAACACACAAAGATAAAGACTTTATATAAAGATATATTACTTTTATTACCTGTGTAGACAAGAAACTAAATAATGAAATGTTCATAATGAAACCACGGAAACGACGTTCACTTGATTCCTGATAGGGCCATTGTCCTATAAGTGATAATAATTTCTTAGTGAGTCTGTAATAGGGATGATCGAAAGCGTCCATTTCAAAAGCACAAAGTATTATAAAATAATCCAAAGAAGAAAGATCTTTCTCATATGTGAAGATCGTCAGAAAATAATCAAAAATTCTTTACATCCAAAAATATGATTCTATAGTACCAAAGAGAAAAGAACATGTATCAATCATTCCCTCTATTGTATTTGGCATATAAATAAGACATGTTTTTCAAGAACGAAACTTCCATAGAATGGTATATAATTTTCTTAGAAAGAATGTTAGATACAATGGTATGTAATTTTCTTTGGTACCAAACGTCAAATATGTAGGAACGAGTAGTTGTCATGGAATTTATTATTGAATTTGATTTCAGTACTGATTCTTTCCCAGTGTACATATCTGTTCGTTATTCAGTCTCTTTTAGAACTATCGGTATTATGCTTCCTACTTTGTGTTCTATTTCTACGAAAGGATAAAAAAAATCATACTCCAAGGTAAATTTTTCTTTTGTGAAATCTCGTATTCCAATTGTAAAATTTTTTTGATCTTTTTTTCCCTTCACGTAAAATTTAATACATAGAAATAATAATAAATAAAATATCTGTAAGACTTAAATAAAAAGTTATCGTAATTATTATCAGATATAATTTACTAAATTAATGTAATAAATGAAACGATTATTATTCGTGAATAAACACGTACTATATTTTATAATTATAAATCATTGATAATGATTGATATGAAGTTATTATATCGTTAATTAATGAACCGATGAAATTACCATAAAATATGAAGTGGCAGTTTGTATAATCTTAAAATAAAAAAAGAAAAGAATAATATTAATATTTATTACAATAGATATTACTTATTGTAATTTATATTTATTAATTATATAATTTCTACCGTTGCAAAAGTTTCTAAACAAAATATAAATACTTTTCCAGCAGTCAAATAAGATGGTTTCAAACTTTTTCGTATTATCAGTATCAGTAATTTATGTATTGACAATGGCGCTTTATACCACAGTCCATTGTATCTATAAACAAATATACGATTTTTATCGCAGACAAAATATTTATATAAAAATTAATATTATACTTACGCTTTGATACGTATATCGGTGCTATAATCTATCATTCTTTGACCAGGATAACACATGCAGAAAAGATGAACTATTTGAGCAACTGCAAAATTGAAATATCTAAACGCTTCTGTTGAATTTTGCAAAAATATCAGCATCTATGCATATAGAATACAAAAATATTAAAATTATTATCTAATAACAAAGAAAGAAAAAAGAAGAAATTAACAATTACTTCAAACAAAGAGATACTCAAGCATGTCAAACTGAAACCTGCTTGCAGAAGTAATGATACTGAGTAAAAAGATTCAACGAGTTCGGCAAACCTTCTCGAAAAAAAGTATAGAGGAGAAACAAACATCAATTAAATTAATAATATAATTATATTACATTATTATATAAGGTAGGCTAAAAGTTTCTAAGTGATCTTTTAATTTAATTTTCTTTTCCACAAGCCTAATTACAAGAGTACTTGAAAAAAGAAGTATTCAATTTTTAAAAATTTTTTTAAAACTTTTGATCCACCTTGTATTTATAATTAATATATATGTGATATATTAACTTTAATGCACTTTTATGATTTCTGATAGAATATCGAATATTTTCGTGACACTTATGTTTCGATAAATTATCCAAGGAAGATGTGGAATCAATTTGATTCTTTAACAAATTTTCCAAACGATATCTGTAATTCTCTAATTGAATTAATTATGTCATTAAGATTCAGAAAATATTTGAACGATCGAATTGAATTTCTTCCTTACCCAACTGCTGCGAATACACCACAAATATGTGAATTGAACATCAAAAAGAGTATATCTCCTGTAACTAATGCTGTTATAGAGATTGTTATAGATATACTCATGTGAAAATAAATAAAGTAAAAATGTTCGTCCTCGTTGATGAAATATTCGCCTTTGAATATTGGTTTCATAAGACGTGACTCGTTCAATGGTGCAATTAAATCCATGATACGTGGAGAAAATGGTAATATAAGAAATATCGTCATGCATGTATATATATATACTTTAAAGAAACAATATAAATTATTATTAACGATATGGAATATATAAGGAAAAAATGACTACATTGTTTGCAATGAATTATAATCTTACTTGTATAATAAAAAGTAAGTAATTTTGTTTCTTTTCCAAATTTATGCATAATTTCCAATTCTTCTTTCGTTCTACATAATTTCCAATTGTGAATTAAATGATCCAAAAGTTGTTTCATCTATGTGAAGAATCAATGATCTTCAAATTAATATCACTTAGATATTTCTTTTTTTGACAATAATATATTTGTTATGGAGAAATAAACGCGTAAGTGATAGTAGAGAAAGAAAAATTATTATTGATGTAATATATCAAAGAAAATTTCATATATATATAAAAAAAAAAAAAAGTAAAAACCCAAAAACTTACTTTGTCTCTATTAAATTGAAGAGTATAGTATTTGATCATACTAATCAATGCTGCTGATATAGGTGCCACAGTTTCGATAATAATATCGATGTTCCCGTAATAAGTAAAAGACAATAATACCTATAGCTAATAGTATGTAATCGGAACTTAATAAATACACAAAAAGAAAGATTTTATATAGAGATATATTACTTTTATTACCTGTGTAGATAAGAAACTAAATAATGAGATGAATACAATGAAGCTACGAAAACGACGTTCACTGGATTCCTGATATGGCCATTGTCCTACAAGTGATAATAATTTCTTAGTAAGCCTATAGTAGGGATGATCGAAAAAGTCCATAGCGTTTCAAAGGCACAAAGCATTCTGAAATAATCGAAACGGTAAGAAGGAAGAAGTTTTTTTTCTTTATTGAAAAGGTCAACATAAAATAATCAAAAAGAGAGACAGAAAGAGAGAAAGAAAGCTATATTTATCCGAAAATATGATTATATGGAGAATCAAAGGGAAGGGAACAAGTATCAATCATCCATCAAATGTTCTTGGCACTTAGATAAGATATATTTTTGAAGTACAGTTTTGAAACAGTTACTGTTAGAGATCGAGGATATATAATTTTCTTGATGTCAAACATATAGAATCTATAGGAATGAATATGCATTGCCGATCCATTATTTAATCGACTTGATACTGAGGGTCAGTGTTATATGCCTACGATTACTCTTATCTTTGAGAACTTTGATTCTACTATACTAACAGACTCGCATTATTCTTTCTTTTTTTGTTTTTCTAAATACGGATCATACGGGGAAGAAAAAAAAATTAAAAGTTTTATTCAAAGGTAAATTTCATTTTTCATTATCGTAAAATTTTTTTATTAAATCATATTTATACATTTTGTTATAATAAATTATTTTTTATCTCATAAGGATTATTTATTTATAGGATAATTTATTGATTATTTCCTTGTACAATTGCAATTCATTATTGGAGGAATTCATTTTATATGTGTTTTTTCTATTTCTATTTTTTTTTCCACTTTTTTATTTTTTACATACACGTATGTATATGTAACATACACATAAAAAAATCTTTTTAAATATTTATCCCATTGTCTCTTTATCTTTTATTTATTATCTTAAAAGATTTATTTTCTTTGCAAAATGTCGTCTTAAAAAATGATATTTCTTTGAGAATAATTTTTGTACAAATATGAACTTTTTCAAAAATTTGTCAAAACCTTATGGTAGATTAAACTTTCAATTTTAAAATGAGATCTTGTTTGTTAAAATCGATCAAGAATTACGCTTGTTCTTTTTGATGATGTAAATCATTTAAAAAGACTCACGAATAGTGAACAGCCTAAAGGTTCCATGAGGTTCAAGTTAGTTCTCTTTTTTTCCGCATATGTCGTGCCGAACGTTAGTGCCATATATATATGTTGTATGCTTTGTGCGCATAAGTTATGAATAAACATAAATTATTTCATTTATCTAATACGTTTTTTTTCTAATTTTCTAAACATTTTATTTACATATAAGTGGTATGTGTATTTTTTTATATAGTTATTATATAAATAATACAATATAATATAAATTAAATATATAAATAAAATAATTATCTGTAGGTTAATATGGTGTCTGATGAATCATCTATTCATAAAAAGTCAGATAAAAGTTTAGAAAATAAAAAAAGAAAACATAGCAAGAAAGAGAAAAAAAAGAGCAAGAAAAAAAAGAAGAAGAAACGTAGTACTTCAAGTTCAAGTGATGTAAATATCAATTCATGACAATTTTTAGTTCTATCATCTTTAATAGTGTTTAAAATTTTTATAACTTTTGTATATATAATATCATTTTAGAGTAGTACTGGCAGTGATAATGAAGTTTGGGTTGAAAAAACTATTGAAACAATACAATCTGTACAAAATACTGTTACTGATAATATTGAAAAAGAACTTGTTAAAAGAGAGGAATGGATGACACTTGGCAATTTATTTCCATGTATATCTAAATCTGATATACAATGTAATAAGCATGAATTACAGAAAAAAGATAATAATATTTCGTCGATTCTTGATAAGCCAGGACAAAGTAGTAAAGAATTAAATCCATATTGGAAAGATGGTGGTACTGGTTTACCTCAAAATGAACCTGAAAAATCATTCAATAAGAAAGTAATGGATCCTGTTTGGTTAAAAAGATCATTGCAACGTGCACGAGAACAAGCTTTAGAAGAAGGAAAATCTTTAGAAGAAATAGCTGCTGAAAGATGGGGTGTAAGTTTATTGAAAAACTTTATGTATATATTATATTTTTAATTAACATTTAATATTTATATACTTATGTAGTCTTTAGAAACTATAAATGCAATGATAGCAGAAGCTGATCAATCATGTTCTAAATATAATCAAAAGAATTCTCAACGAAATCGTGTCCCTTATGAAAGACGTTATTATGATAAATACTCTAATAGGCACAGAGAATCAGAACAAGATCATTCATCTTATAGATCAAGAAATTTGGATCGTGAACAAAAGTATGAATCTTATAGATCTGACAGATCATCACGTAAACCAAATTATCAAAAGCCTACAGATGATGGTGATCGTCATTACACATCAGCTTTGAGTAAATCAAATTCGCATAGTCAAAGAAATTGGCAAAAAGATAATGGTAAAAGTAATAAACAATTAGAATCAAATGTAGAAATAATTAATGAAGAAATTTCGAAAAAGGACAACAATGTTTTTGACATTAACACACAATCAAATGATATTTTAACCAAAGAAGAAATGAATAAATTGGGAGCAAAAATTATAAAAGCTGAATTAATGGGTGATAACGTACGAAAAATTATTACATTAATCTTATAGATAATATAGAATATAGTTATTTTTTTTTTTTAATATTTATTTTTTAGGAATTAGCAAATCATTTAAAGGAACAATTAGAAAAAGCAAGAGAACATTCTAAGCAAGCAAATAAATCTGAAACAGAAAACGTCATTCTTTCAAGAACTGATTCAAAAGGTATTAATAATGTTAAATATATATTAGATTTTTATATATCCCTTGTCTTTTAATTTAATATCAAATTGTATCTGATCAGGTGTTACAAGACCAATACAACCAAGATGTCAACCTAAAGAATCTTCAACAAAATCTAAAAAGAATAAAAATCTAGAGACGCATGTTTCTGGTGAACGGATTCGTTACTACGGTGACGATGATAAATATTCTTTGCAGCAACTCGTAAGATTTATAAAATTATTAAATTAATTTATATATGAGAATTTTGAACATATAAATTATTAAAATTATATTTATCAGTTCCAGCGTGAAAAAGGACGATCCGTGGATGACGATAATGCCGCATTTGTTAAAATTGCATCGAAGGTATTACAATTCTAAATAATAATTTTAGATATAAAATAAATACAATTATATTTTTAAACAATTTTCATTTTTAGAACATGGATATGAATGATATATTTGAAGAACAAATTGCACGAGTGGATACAGACAGTAGGCAAGATGATAGAGATAAAGCAAAGGCGATTAAAGAACATAAAAGAATATCAAAAAGTTTAGAAGGATGTTCATGGTGTATAGAATCCAAAAATATGATCAAGCATATGATTATTACAATGGATTCACACATTTGTCTTAGTCTTCCAACCAGAGTATCATTAGTAATTGGACATTGTGTATTAACACCTTTACAACATATATCATGCCAATTACAATTAGATGAAGACATTTGGGAAAAAATGAAGGTATATTTAAATAATTTTTAATTGTTTTTTTTTTCTCTCAATAGATTTTTCTAGGAATTTTTTTTTTCTCAATTAGATTTTCAAGGAAACTTTAATTAAGATGTTTATGGATTCTAAACAAACTCCAATATTTTTTGAAGTATATAAAAATCGTCATAAATTCCCACACATGCAATTGGAATGTGTTCCATTATCTGATGAAAGTGCCGATTTAGCACCTATGTACTTCAAAGTAAGTAAATAAAGCAAAGAGAAAAATCTGTAACAATATTTTTATTAATTAATATTATTTACAGAAAGCTCTATTAGAATGCGAAACCGAATGGGCTATCAACAAAAAAATTGTTGATTTAAAAAACAAAGATTTACGTAGAGCGATACCAAATGGATTACCATATTTTATGGTACAATTTGGAAATAATGGTGGATATGCGCATGTAATTGAAGATGAACGTATGTTCCCGATCAATTTTGCAGAGGTAAATCAATACTCTTTTTATGATTTATAAGAAATATATATTGCACATTAATTTTCCTCTACTTTATATAATTTGTTTTTTCTTTTTTTTTTCCCACTTTTTATTTCTTTATTCTAGGAAATAATTGGTGGAATATTAGATTTAGATCATAATTTATGGAGGAAACCAAAAAGGGAGACCTTTGAACAACAAAGAGAGAAAGTTTTAAATTTTAAGAAAATATGGGATAAATATAAACATTAATAAATTGTAAATAAATTTTATAAGAATTTAATTATGCTAAGGAGTAAGTGAAAGGTATTTTTTGTTAATGCTGATCATTATTTTCTTGTTTAAATCCAGTGACAAACCATGTGTCCATGTATTTACTTAAGACATGTGGAAACATTGCTAATACTTTAAAACGTTCTCCCATTTTATCAGTATCCATTATCATATGATACCCTGACAGAATATTTTCCTTTTCAACATCAGTTGAATTCTTTAAAAGTATTTCTAATCTCACATCAATACCAAGATTTTTCAAAAATATTCTTTGACTTATTGGACCAAAAGATATTACTCTGTTATCTTTTTGCGCTGTCTTTTGTATTAATGAAAAATCAACATCCGCAGTTAAATCAGCTGTACCTGGATTTAATAAGGGATCATGCAATTGGTGCTTTCGAAAAGCACGGAAAGTGTCTGTTTTATCACCAATATGACCATAATCAATGATTAAGGCAAAACCTCCACATTCCATTAAAAATGATGATATATAATCTATTACAACTATACTTTGTGGGCTTATTTCAACATGATCTCTCGATTCATCTTTCTGAAAAATAATCAGTTTTATATAATATGTTCAATTAAATAAATAGTTAAAAGTAATAAATTAATATGTACAGATATATAAACTTGAGCTGCAGGGGATGGCCCTTTAGATAATACATAACGAAATTTCTCTTCTTCTATTCCCGGAATTGCATCCACTAAGACTTCACTCCAGCCTTGTTCTGTTTTCTAAAATTTTATTGCAACAACCATATGCAATGATATAGTTATAACAAAAAGTGATACACTTTCTTTTTATTTCAAGTACCTGAAACTTATGTATTGGTAGTGCATCAAAAAATTCATGTGCAAGGAACACACTGAACTTTTTAGGAATATCAGTAATTGAATAATACCAATATACTTCTACACCATCTTCTGTAATACCTTTTTTATAATGACCTATTGAATTTTTTTGCGTTTGTGTCTTACAATCGACAGGATTATTTTCTTCTATATATGTACATAGATTTTGTGCTTGAATTGTAGATAAAGCAGGACTTATTTCTACCAAATGAATAGATACTTTATTAAGAAACGTTAACTTTTTAAATACCTAAAAAAAAAAAAAAAATATAATATTTAATAAGATTAATAATTCAGATTATTTTGTTTATATAATTATGCATAGATCAAAATATGTACTCGTAAAATGTCTTGTATCATTGTACCCTTTCCTGGGCCTAACTCAATAAGCTGAAAGGGATCTTTAGAGATCTTAATCCATTCGTTAATAATCCAAACGGCTAATATCTAAAAATCACATAATCTTTGAACAATAAATATCATTAAAAAGAAAAAAAGAAAAGAAAATAAATTGATAAAAACTACACACTTCTCCAAAAAGTTGAGATATTTCTGGTGAAGTAATGAAATCTCCTTTAAGACCTAAAACATCTTTGTTCATGTAATAACCAAGAAATGGATGAGTTAAAATTTCTTTCATATATTCTGCGACAGATAATGGTCCACAAGTTATAATTTTAGAATACAATTGACGATACAAACTTGATTTTTTGATCTTAACATCAGAACTTTCAGATAAGTAACAATGATTTGATAAATTTATCATAGATTTAAGATTAGGTTTCATCAATATATTAGTTAATTCATGATTTATAAGTGTTCTATTTAATACACGTAGAATTTTTGTCATATTTTTGTTATTGTTATTGTTTTTGTTCTGTCAATAATATAAAAAAAAATTAATAATTACGAACGAACTACAAATCCTCTTCACAGTCAATCACAGCCAATACTATAACATTAAAGACACTAAATTCTCTAAGTACGATATAGATAGTATTTTATTTTTATACAATTTTTATATATACGTAAATTCTTTCCATTCAATTTTGTTCGTAAATATTAATAAAATGAAACAACCTTTATTGGATTAAAAAATAAGTAAAAAAAAAAAAGATTTTCAACTGTAAATTTGAATCGTCTTCATTATTTATCCGTTTAAATTTGGCGCCTTTAATGGCGCGTTTTAAGAAGAATTCTCAGAATAATTTTATTAATGTTCAACGAATTTTATTGTTACCGTACGTTACAAGGACCTGTATATGCTTTTTCTATGCTATCCTCGTTCCTAGCCTAATCTTAAATTTTAAACCGAAGATAAAGAACAAATATAAAAGAATTATTAAAATAAAAGACTATAGGGAAGAAAATATTAACTACTGTGTATCAAATATTAAAGAAGATAGGCTTTAGATTCCATGGCATTTCCACTGAATGATCAAGTTTATATAAAATCCTTTACTCCTAGAGAATATCAAGTGAGTTTTGTACAAAAATATTTAGGTATCTATGATATATATTCATTATATTTTATGAAACTATAAGAACACAAGTTTTTATTTCTTTTATGCATTTTAATATTTAGGTAGAGCTCCTTTATGAGGCTAAGGAAAAGAATATTATTATTTGTTTAGGAAGTTATTATGAACAAGCTTTTATTGTTATAAAATTAGTCCAGGAATTTGCGACAAATAACAGAAGGTAAATTCTCTGAAACAATTAATAAATTATATGACAGAGAAAGGAGAGAGAGAGAGAGAGAGAGAGAGAGAGCGAAAGTATTCATTACATTGAAAAAAATGAACTCGTAAACAGATAATTCTTTCTTAATTCAGGCCTGTGAAGGAAGGCGGAAAACAAATAATTTATATACTATCAGATAAAGAAAAGTGTTTGCTAAAAGCGACATATATCAAACAATTAACAGATCTTAAAGTATTATTATGCGATACATGTACAGATCTAACTAAAGAAGTCAAAAATTCTCATGTAAGATATGTTTTTCTATTTCTTTTTTTTTCTATTTTTCTATTTTCTTTTTTCCTATTTTTCTATTTTTTGTATTATCTAGATTATATATATATATATAGATTATTTATATTATATATGTGTATGGTATAATGATATAATGATATATCTAATAATATAATTATATATTTTTTTTATTTTAGGTATTAGTTACAACTTCTAAGACGTGTGCATTGCTATTATCAGAAAAGAAAATTTTACCTCATCACATAAGTCTAGTCATAGTTGATGAGTGCCATAAATCTGTACATGATAATAAACTTAAATCTATCTTGAAAACTTTTTTGACATGTATAAACATTCCTAGAATAATTGGTATAGCTGTACCACTATTTAATTTAACACAAGAGCCAGGAAGGCTTGGATTAGAGATAGAAAAAATAGAAACCACTTTTCAATGTGAAGTTGAAACAGCTAGTGATATATTATCAATACTCAGGTAAGTTATTATGAACGACAGTTAAATTGTAAATAATCATGTATATATATATCTAATCATAGGTATAGTCCTAAACCTAAAGAATATATAATAGAATATAAAAAAGGTGAAAAAGGAGAATTATATGAAATATTAGAAAATTGTGCATTGGACGCTATTCACTTCTTACAAGATCATCGCTATGATCCAACTGAAATTTATAATGAAGAATTTCTTGAAGATATTCAAAAAATACCTAATCCAACGGAAAAGCCGCGTGAGATGATGCAAGATTTTTTATATATATTAGAAACTCTTGGACCATGGTGCGCAGATCGTGCTGCATTAGCTCTTTTAATATTAACAGAAAAGTTAAAAATGAAAACACCTTATGAAAGACATTATCTTTTATTAAATTTAGTTGCATCAGTTTTTATTAAAATAAGGTAAAACTATTATACGATATAAATTATTGCATAATATAATTTCTTATTATTGTAATGTAATCTAATAAATTTTAGAGCTCTTTGTGATAATACATTTGAAAACTTATCTGAAAAAGAAAGGTTATATCGTTTTACTACTCCAAAAGTTCATCGGCTTTTACAAATTTTAAAAACGTATACTCCATTTTATATCAAATATAATAATACTTCAGAAACAAAATCAAATACCGGTAAAAACATACTTCTTGATTTATCTGTTATTATTGTTTAATATTATATTACATATATATATATATAGTACTATTTAATGTTATATTACATATACTATATTCAGATGGAGACTCTAAAAATATTACACCAACTAATGGAGAAATAGCTCCTAAAGAAAATCATATACATATAAAAAGACCAGATTATAATTGGAGAACTGGGGAAGATAATTATAGAAAACCATTTAGATCACAACGATATTTTCGTGGAATTACAGATCCTGAATTATTATGTGGAGTAATTTTTGTTGATAAAGCATTTACAGCAAAAGTTTTGTCTTATTTATTAAATGTATGTTTATGAAACAAACACTATGTTCTATCACAAGGATAAATCGTATACAAGCAAAGTAAAATATGATTTTTTAATATTTCATGTTTTACACAGGAAGCATGCAAATATGATGAAGATTTGCATTTTCTTTCTCCTCTTTACATGACTGAAAGTAGTACTGATGAAGTTGGCTATTGTAGGGATTTAGAAATAGAACATAGAAAGCAAGAAGAAGTTTTGAAAAGATTTAGGATACATGAATGTAATTTATTGATAGCAACTTCAATTTTAGAAGAAGGTTTGTATCTATAATTAATAAATAATTAATCTTAATTATTTATTTGACAATAAATTTAAAATATAAAATTAAATTTTCATATAGTATTATTAATATATGTTATTATATAATTTTTAAAGGTATTGATATCCCAAAATGTAATTTTGTAATGAGACATGATTTCCCAAAAAATTATCAATCCTATGTTCAATGTAAAAGCAGAGCAAGAGGTGTGGATGGATTACATATATTACTGGTACCACAAGAAATATCTAAAGAATGTGTTTGGCAGTTAGCTCAATATCAATACATAGAAAAGGTATTGAAAAATAACAAAATGTATTTATTAGTACAACATTTTTATACGTCAGTTTAAATATCTATCAATTCATTCCAATGCTAATCCAAATTTAAAATTTTAATGAAAATATATTTTGTAGACTTTATTATCAAAATGTTCAAATAAAGAACCAACTGAGGAAGAAGAAAATGAAGCAGATATGTATGCTGCTATGATACCCCATTATAAGCCTCTTGAAAATGATGATGCACCTAAAGTGACTTTTAATTCTGCTATTTCATTAATAAATAGGTAATATGTGTGACATAATTTGTTTTATTATATCTTTTTTATTATATTTATTACGAAAGCAATTTTTAAACAAATTGATTATTCCAGATATTGTGCAAAATTACCTAGTGATACTTTTACCAGATTAACACCAGAATGGTCTGTTCAAGTTTTAAATAAACAGAGTCCAATGACTTACATATGTTCTTTACGATTGCCTATAAATTCACCAGTAAAATATGTTGTTTCAGTATGTAACATTTCTTTTCATGTAGATCATAGATACCTTAGCAAGTATTTTTATTTAATATATTTATAATTATATATACATATATATATATATATTTTTTTTTTTTTATTTATTTTAATTTAGTCATATCCAATGCCTAACAGAGCTATGGCTAGACGTATGGCTGCACTACAACTTTGTATTGATTTACATAGAGAAAATGAAATAGATGATAATTTATTACCTATTGGAA